AACCTTGTACAGATATTTTTCGAAGGTGATCATTTATCAACCTAATTAAAAATGATTCCATTTGAAATCCGTAAGAACATCTCTAAGACAGTAGATAGTAGCTGGGGCAAGAGATGTCTATGAACTCTATTCTTATGTGGAGCTATGTTAATTATCATACTATCAGAATAAGAAATGGAAAGGCTTTTCACAAGTTAAAATAATTTTTTTCTAATTGATTAAACCCAACATATTATAATTTCTAAATGGCAGAAACAGCATCTTGTCCCTGTCAACTCTGAGTAGTGTTCTCCTTTCCCCTTCTCTATTCTTTTTTCTGTTGAGCCTTATATTGATTTCTTTCATAATTTCTTATTTTTTATTTCCTTATCTTTTTGCTTTTATATGAAAAGGTTTCTTCACCTGTATTCTGTTATCCTTCAAATGAAAATTGTTTTGAAACTGTGTTTTTCATTTAATTTATTTTCAATTACAGTTTACATTCAATAGTATTTTATATTTGTTTCCAGTATACAACATTGTGGGTTAGACAATTGAATAATTTACGAAGTGACTCCCCCAATAATTCTGCTACCCACTATTGACTATATTCCCCACACTGTACTTTATATCCCAGTAACTACTTTGTAACTACCAATATGTACTTCTTAATCCCTTCACCTTTCCATCTATTCCCCTAAAGCCCCCCCATCTGGCAACCATTATTTGTACTCTGTATCTATGAGTATGTTTCTGTTTTGTTTGTTCATTTATTTTGTTCTTTAGATTCCACATGTCAGTGAAATCATATGGTATTTGCTGTCTTTGTCCGACTTACTTCACTGAGCATAATACCCTCTAGTCCATCCATGCTGTTGCAAATGGTAAGATTTTTTATTTTATTTTATTGCTAAGTAATATTGCATTGTATATATGTGCCATATCTCCATTCTCCAATGGTCTTATTGATGGATGCTTAAGTTGTTTCCATATCTTAGCTATTGTAAATAATGCTCCAATGAACACAGCGGGGCATATATCTTTTTGCATTACTGTTTCTAGAAGCTCTTTCTTATTTTTCACTATTTATGTTTTAATGACATCCTGCTTCATGAAATACTACATTGTAATCTCTAAGAATTTTTTAAAATTTTTTCTTCCCTTTATTCCAGTGTCCTCCTAATAATCTGTTTCAGTTCCAATATTTTACATTAGAAGCTTTCATATTATGATTGATGAGCCTTGATTTTTATATATGTATATGTATATGTGTGTATATATATATGTACATATCCATTTTTTAATGTTTTAAATTTAATTTTAATTTTTATCAAAGTAATATATGTAAATATTTATGGAAATCAAATGGTTCTACTTGGCTTATTATTAAAAACAGGTCTACTGCTGTACTCCTTTCCACTCTGAGAGACATCACTTTCAGTTATCTTAAAATAACTTGCTTAAAGCTGCTGTTTCTTGGTTTTTCAATTTTATAGATTGCAAGGTGACTTCCTTCTTTAAAAATTAGTTAATTTTTAAAATTTTATTTTATTGTTGATAGTATTATAGATGCTTCCCATTTTCTCCCTTTTTGCCCCTCTCCACCCAGCCCCCATCTCACCCTAGCCCTTCCCCATGTTCTTGTCTCTGTCCATGGGTTATGCATATATGCATAAGCTTTTTTTTAGTTAATCTCTTCCTGCCCCCTTTCCCTCAAAGCACCCCATCGCCACTGATGAGCCCAAGTACCCATCAGTAGATGAGTAGATAAAAAAGCTATGGTACATTTACACAATGGAATACTATACATCTGTAAAAACGAAAAATTTCTTACCCTTTGAGACAGCATGGATGAACCTAGTTACTATTATGTTAAGTGAAATAAGCCAATTAGAGAAAGACAAATATCACATGATCTCACTTATAAGTGGATTCTAAAGAACAAAATAAACTGACAAAACAGGTCCCTTTGAGAAAGGGCGAGAGAGAGAAACATCAATGTGGCAGAGAAACATCGATCAGCTGCCTCCTGCAAGCGCCCCGACTGGGGATGGAACCCACAACTTAAGTATGTGCCCTGACCGGGACAAACCCACAACCTTTTGGTGTATAGTCTAACCAGCAGAGCCACTGGCCGGGGTGGTAGCCCACTGACATTTAATAGTAAGTTAATAAAAGCCGAATGATGTTCCTTAGGCATAGGTGTGTTTTCTAAACTGGACAGGTTCACTTCTGTGTATCTGCTTTGGAAACCAGTCATTTATAGGGCTTCTCCAAATGTAGGTACGTGGAAATGCTTTTGTTACAATGATTAGTTTCTCTAGAAAAGAATTTGAGAATTTATTGGGAGGTGGGATGTGTGCGAGGTGGGGAGGTGGGGCTGCTGGGGGGGTATAGACTCTGTGTTGCCGGTGTTCTGCATGTGGTAGGAGAAGGGTATTGACAGCCTGAGTACTCCCCTGGGAGGCATACACTCAATCTTCTTTTCAGTCCCTTTGCATTCCCCTTCCAGTTGTGCAAGCTGTTCCTGAGTTCTGGACCTCTGTTACTCAACAGCTCCACCACTAGGAGCCTCCCTTCCCTTGACTGAGAGAAGCAGTGCCTTTTGAGGGCATNCCACCACTAGGAGCCTCCCTTCCCTTGACTGAGAGAAGCAGTGCCTTTTGGGGGCATTGTGTGCATGGCAGAAAGACCTGACAGTTTCATATGTTATGACTAATTACCCCATTTTATGCCCTTTAACTCACTCTCTTCTATGCCAGCTGCCTCAAAATCTTGCATCATCTCTGCAGGTTTCTTTCTGAGTATGTACGATTTCTTTTTGGTATTATCCCATCCCAAAGCCAGCTCTGAAAAATCAGTTGTAACATCCCCTTCCACTTTCTGACTTCCAAATATCAGTTTAAATACCCTCTCTTCTGGCATTCTGATTGTTCCCATGAGATTATTCTTTCTCAACATTTTATTCAGTAAAGGTTTATTCTGATTTACCCACAGAAGCACCATTTCTTTGTTGACCATTCTTTCCCTACTTCATGCAGTAACTCCGTCTAGATTGTTTCTTTGAAGGACATCTACTATGATTTCTTCAGCAAAAGCTTTCAGTGGACTGATTTTCTTATTTAATTTCTTGGCCTAGAAATTCCCTGATCAAGCAAATACAGTCAACTCAAAACCCCAAAAGCCTGGCAGAAGGACTTAGAGTTTTTCGTTCTCCATTCAGATCCCACGCGGAGATGGGCAACTCTTCACGCTGCTTCCCCGTACCAGTATGCAGCTTAGTCCATACCACGCTTTCACTAAGAGAGGCAGGCCCCTGCTGTACTTGGCATCTAATTCCAAGCCTTCCACTGGTCCAAAGCTTTGCCTCTTATTGCAGCAAGGAAAAAAGTAAACAAACAAACAAAGCCTCCTCCCTTCCCACAGGTTGTCACAACTGGTAAACTATCCCAAATCAGGCCTACTGTTTACTGTTCTGGTGTTTAGTTATCATTTCATTTCTAGCTCCTAGGAAATTCTCTTGCTACTTTTTGAGATCAGCTAGCCATTAAGAGGATATGTGTTATATTTTATTAAGCATATCTAGACTTTTTCTTAGAAAGATGTTTTCTGGTTACCTAGTCTGCCTATATAATTTCTTTAATAGTATTTTAGTGGTATCTTAGAATGGATACGTAATAATTTTAAATGTTTAATCTAACATCTTCTGTGAGAAATTAAATGTTATTACTTTTAAACAATTATAAGATCTCTTTCAAGGCACCCACTTAGGAATCACTTTCCTGAGCTTTTGCTCTGTTTTCCTAATATTCATTTATTTTTATTAATATTGGAGAAATATGAGGTGGTGTAACTAAAACAGTATAGGTAATAGATTCAGATTAGGATTGAAGGCTAGGCCTACTTGTTAGCTGACTGAGCTCAGAAACTTTACATACTGTGTAAAATAAAAACATTAGTAACTCTTTGAAACACATAAAATTACAGCATTTGTAAGTCACAATGGTAGAATATGAGCAATTTCTTATGCTTCAAACTAACACCATTTTTATGGAACTGTGGCCTCAGAGAGTGGTCACGTAATGAGTGGCCAAATGACGGCTTCACTCCTCTTTCACAGTAATTTCAGTTAGAAGGAATTCCAAGAGAGGGATTACTGGGTCATATGGTAGCTCTATTCTTAATTTTTTGAGGAATTGCCAGACTGTTTCCCATAGTGATAGTACCAGTCTACATTCCCACCAGCAGTGACTGAGGGTTCCCTTTTCTCCACAACCTCTCCAAAACTTATTACTTGTCTCATTGATAAAAGCCACTCTAACAGGTGTGAGATAGTATCTCATTGTAGTTTTGATTTGCATTTCCCTAGTTGCTAGTGAAGTTGAACATCTTTCCTATATCTATTGGCTGCTTGTATGTCTTCTTGGGAGAGGTGTCTGTTCAGGTCCTCAAGGAGGTCTAATACATGGTGGGCACACAGTGCAATCCATATATAGATCTTATAACAAAGAGACCCACATCTGAAACCTATATGATCATATTAACCAATGCCACCCCCATAACTTTAATATAAAAAATGAAAATGAAAAAAGGAAGGAATTCCATGTGATACTGACCCACACACATGCAACATTTTGCCTATTTTAAAAGAATTAGACTTAGTTCTACATTATAGCCAACTTGGGGTCAACACTGGTTTGTAGAACATTTAGTTGCAGGCTCGATCCCCAGTGGAGGGACATGTAGGAGGCAGCTGATCAATGACTCTTATCATTGATGTTTCTCTCTCTCTCCCTCTCCCTTCCTCTCTCAGCAATCAATAAAAACATTTAAAAAACAAACAAACAAAAAAAAACCACCACTTTTTTCCACATTTTCTACACAGGGTTCTAACTTAGTATTGCCATCATTATATCCTAACAAACTGAGTTTATTGGCTAAGAACCAGTACCTCAAACCACATCCACCTCAGTCTGCAAGAAGAAAACCAATTTCCAAAGGGTAGGAAGGTAGGTACTCACTGTGAGAGCTAGTAGCTTCCCATAGGTGAGATGAGCAGGAATGTGGTCGGTTTTGGATCTTAATGATTCCATATACCAATGTTCTGCTTCGGGGAGTTTGCTTAATCGCATGTATGCTTCGCCTGGAAAATGAATTGTGAAAATCAATCTGAGGACACAGCTTTCCAACAGCCTTTGCAACAGCATCCTCTCATCATGCTTATATTCCATGACATTTCAGATGCTTTGGCAAATATATTCATCTGTTATCTCATTTGATTCCCCAAAAGTCTTCATAATTGCATTTTACAGATGAGAAAATGTGTTTGGAGAAACTAAGTGAAAAGGCTAAAATAAAAAGTTTAGTAAGTGGTAAAACTTTAATTTTTAATCTAGGAACATCTGGCTCCCAAGTATATGTACTTTGCCACCATTTCTTTTTGTTTTGTTTTTTTGTTTGTTTTTTAAAGGTAAATTTGTTTTTCCTTATGTATGATCATTTGCTTTTATTCACATTCATTCATTCCTTTAGAAACCCAAGCATTTAGAGAACAACTGCTAAGTGAGAAGCATTATGCAGGACCTAGAGGAGAGAAGTTCAAGGTCATACCCTCCAAGGTTTGCAACCTTATTGCGAAAGTAAGATTAAATGGAGTGAAAAGTTTATGCACTAGGCACTAGTGCTAGAGTTTGTTCAGAATTACTTGTACTTTATATTTTTAATAAGTAAATACAATTGACCACTTTCATTTCAAAAATCGAATACATACATCACAATTATTTATTGTGCCCAGCATCTGCTATTACTTTCAGGTTATACAAAGTTTACCTACCAAATAGCATTTCACTAACAGCCAAGAAAGAGAAAAATAATAATGTCAAAAGTATATGAGTAGCCCTCTTATTATAATGCCTCTCTCCCTTATATGATTATCATATGAAAGAATATTCACCCAATGGGAAAATTATATTTTAAGATAATTTGTGTATTTAAGTTAAATATTGTAGCTTTAATACGCACTGCAAATGTAGAAGCAACTCGGTTTCTGAGAACAAGCAACGGACTGGTAACCTGCATTATTTTTCAAGCAAACTTTTGTAGTTTAACTAATCATAATTATGATAGCTTTGTCCATTTAGAGGCATAATCAGATGTTCTTTCTAAATGTATTACCCGCATTGGCTGTACATCCTTGTTTGAAAGGAAGAGCTGGCTTCTTTCTATTTTAATCATGTTCTCCCTCTACCAGCACAGCACTGTCAATACTAATATGTTTGATTAATTGAATTAATTTGAGTCTCCTGACCTTTTGAGTGCCCTTTGCTCAGCTGTCAGTAAAAAATATTGGTGACAAATAATATGTAGTATGCACAAAACTGTACGTATCCACTCATACACATCTATGTACTTCTAGTTCTGAGAACAGTCCTTAAACTATACTACCATAAAAATAATAGGTAGAAAATGTTTCGTTTTGCTTTAGGGAAACTTAAAATGTATTTGCATTTTAAAAGAATTTGATTAGATTAAATCACATGCTCAGGGTGAGATGCAAGAAATACTGAAGCAAAACCCAAAACCTGCAATGAATACACAAAATGCTCACTGTTGTTAGAATGGTAAGATTAGAAAGGAATTTTTATTAATTTTTCATAATTTTCTGTAATAACTATGTTGTTTTTATTATAATAGCTCTATATAAACTGAAACACTATCAAGCAGTTTTAATTTTTTGCGATGCCAAACTAACAAATGTTCCCAAAAAAAGAAAATAGTAATTTTTCTTAGGAAAAGTAAACCGCTCTTCACACTAAAACAATACTACTAGATATAATTTATGTAAAAGAAAGGATGCATAATCTCTAAAGTACTGAAAATTTTAAAGCAATTAATGATTAATTGTATCCAAATATTTAACTCTAAAATGGACTCTAAAACACATGCTAACATCAGACTTGCAGCTGAAAGGAGCCAGCTTTGCAGGTTGTTTGGAATCAACCTGAAATTCTACTTTGGGTCCTCAATTGCTCTTAAATCATTGTTTAGATGTTGTACAATTATTGTATCTAATATAGCTTCTATTTTTATTGTATCTAGTACACAATATTTTTTATTGTATTTTTTATTTATTAAAAAATTTTTATTTTTATTTTTTATTTATTAAAAAAATCCAATTAATTTGTAGAATAGTAACAGTAGGTTGTCCAGAAAAAGAACACCAATTCCAGTCCTGGCTGGTGTGGATCAGTGGTTAGAGTATTGGCCTGAGCACAGAAGTATCTCAGGTTCCACTCCCTGTCAGGGGCATGTACCTGGGTTGCATGTTTGATCCCGGTTAGGGCACATGTGGGAGGCAACCAATCGATGTGTCTCTCTCACATCAATGTTTCTCTCTCTCTCTCTCTGTCTCTCTCACCCCTCCCCTCTCCCTCCTTCCCTTCCACTCTCTCTAAAAAAAATCAATGGAAAAAATATTCTTAGGTGAGGATTAACAAAGAACAACAAAAACGAGAACCCCAATTCTAGAGTGCTTGAGATTCAAAAAGAGAACCCCAATTTCAGAGTGCTTGAAATTCAAAAAGAGAACCCCAATTCCAGAGTGATTGAGATTCGAATCTTTATATTTAAGTTGCTGATCTGAAAGTCACTTCAGAAAGTGTAATTTCTTTTCAAAGTCAGAAATCTATCATTATGAAAATCTACTCTGAACAGAAATATTAATTTACTAAATAACTTGTGGCTGGCCCATTGTCTTCAGTAAGCACTCATAAGCAATTTATTAATTTGTAAAGCTTGTGAGATGAAGAAATATCAAAGGACTATAAATAAAAAATATAATCTAATAATGCAACTTGGCAAGTATATGAAAAATGTAAATAATCAGCCTACTTGGGTACTATTCATTACAACTTAGAAAAACTTTATGTAGCCATTCATGATATCTCAGTAATAATAATGATTACAATGACAAAAATTCACTGCATGATTGTTATGAATCAGTGCAGCAAGCTGGGGGGTGGGCAAATGTCTGATTTATGCGCACCCCACTCTTCGTGCTCTGTTTCGTTGGGCATGTAAAGTGTTATCTCAATTCCCTTTAGAAGCCTTAACAGATTACCCCATTTAATAACCACTAACTGTTGCGAGTAGGTTTGTAAAATGAAACATTTTCAATCTATTAGTTGCTTTATATGTATCTCTCCATTTTTATTCAGAAACATCATCAGCTGGATTTTACAAATGAGGGAAGTGAGAAGCACTGTGGCTACATAAACAACTCATGACTGTGGGAAACGTAAAGCTGCAGTTCAACCCAGGGCTGCCTGACCGCGAGCACACTGCGTCAGCCAGCGGGGACGGAGCAAGCGCCCGCTCTCCCGCTCAGGTGAAAATTGTATTCTCTTTCTTACTCCAAGAAAATGGTTTTCTAGTTTGTGATACGTTGGCCATGGACTTTATTTCACTTTGCCTTGGGCTTATCTGTTGAGTTAAAGGAACACGGAAGAGCAGTAATAGTCCACGGATGACCTTTAGAAATGCTGCTGCTGCAGACGCCGCCCAATTCTTGAGGGGGAAATATTTAGCATATAAGATGCACGTTAGTTCTAAGCTTAACTTCAACACAGAAACAGTTTATAAAAGTGGTAATAAAATCAAGACACAAAGCCTAAAATGCAAGAAAATGATCGTATGTGAATTTAAATGTGTTTAAATGGTAACTCAGTAAAGATTTAAGCAATAAACAAGTACTTGCTATAACCCTGGCACTGACAAGGCAGGGGCTTCATATTTCTTTCTCATTTCTAATTCACGGGAGTTAGAATACTGATTTTATGGATGAAGAGGCGGCTCAGGAATGATAAGTGTCTTGCCCAACGACAGTTAGTAATCCTATCTGAAAAGGTTTGAATGGCTCTAAAGCCCATGCTTTTTTCCATTGCACCAAGCTGCCTACCAAAGAAAGTTCATTATTTATTGGCTACTTACGAAGGTCTTTACTATATGACCTTACACTTTTACATTATGCCTACAGTGGAATTAATTTCAATCTAATTTCACAGATGAAGTGATTGTTTGCTCATTTAGCTTAAGCAACTTGCTCCGCAACGAAAACCAAGCACCTGCCACGGTCAGGATTCAGATTAGAGTTCCCCCTGACTCTTTCGACTATACCATTCTGTCTAATTATACAAAATAATTACAGATGAGATACAATAACTGCAAAAGGTGCTGTCAATGGATTCAGTTTTAAGAGAGAATGGATATATATGTATTACTTTAAGCTTGATTAAGATATGAAACTCATAAAAATTCCAAGAAGGAAATGGCCACAGGGAAAGGAAGTTCAGTAAATTCAGTAAGCGAGGAAATGAAGATACTCGGTTGGGAGAGGTTCAGTCATCTTCTCTGGTACTGTAATTCTTCTTTACTTACAATTAAAGAATAAAAATGTTTATAGTACCCAGGAAGAAAAGAAGCAACAATGACTATTTTTCCTTCTCATCCTGCAAAAAATAAAAATGACATAATAGAGGCCCTTTCGTCAGAATGAGACGACTTGCTGTGCAATGATGCCGTGATCAGGTTTATCACCCAGATTTATTTCTGATTCACTCACAGACAAAAGGGATTTGGATGTCTCCAGGTTAGCTTCAGGCAGATATAAACCAGTTTCAGATGTAAAACAAATAATGTCGCTCTTCCTCCCTAAAAAGCTCGCATCTAAATAACCCAGGCAAGGCTGACTCCTTAAAGGGAAAAATGCTGGCATACTGAGGATGTAACAGTCCAGGTCTCACTGATTCTGTTTCAGGTTACTGGACAGCTGAAGTTTGCAGATACAGAGTAGAGCACATAGTGGGACATAGTACCCATATTTGCCAGTGTTTCCTTTTGTTTCTCCTGTCCTTGCTCAAGATAGTATATTTTAAGTTTAGATTCCCAATCCCCCCCTCTCCCCAGTTTTATTGAGATATAATTAACATACATACAGCACTATATAAGTTTAAAGTTTCCGCATAATGACTTAACATATATAGGGTGTCCCAAAAAATGTACACACACACTTTGAATAATGATAAAGGCAGTATTTATCAAAATACATTTCCTTTTCAAAATTGAGCTATCAGCTGTTAAAGTGTG